TTTTTTTTTTTTTTTTTTTTTTTTAACAAAATTGAATCTTGTTATTAAGAATTTGAGAGAAATAAGGTTAAAACGAAAAAGTTCAAATAATTATCCACAAAAGTTCTTATTCATATGTCATATGGATTTAGGCAATTTTTTTTAATTACATTAACGCGATTCTCCACGTGACAAATAGCAATAATATGATTGTCCAGGTGACAAACAACAACAATAAAGATAAAGCCGAAGATGTATTAGGATCGCACAACAACCCACATTAATCTAGAAGCACAAAAAAAATAGGAGAGAGAAAATGAAAAGATAACTCTCACTAAAGAATTTTACATATGATAGAAAGTACATCTTCAAAGCTACGTGGAATATATATATATATATATATATAGCTTATTATATATAATTTTAACGGATATAATCATCTACTTTGAATAACTATCTGCCATATATAGTTTTACATAAACTTTTTAAGGTAAATAACTATTTATTATTTATGACATTTTATTTATATGTCATTTACCCAATTTTATTTGTCATTTACGGAATACAACTGTATATAACCTTTGACCAACCAGACTCCAACCTTTCACTAAGCTATAAATAAGCAAAAAGAAATTGGAAATGTAGATGTTAGGTTAGAAGGGGCACAGCTCGTAAAGGTTGAGCCTTTTCCACAGTAATACCAAAGTTTTCATCCATGTTCATATTCTCTGGCGTTACTCCATCTTCAAGCTTCCAATCAAACCAATGAAGCAGCGAACCCACCATCAAATGCAACATCCTTGTGGCTAATGGTTGTCCGGGGCAAATTCTCCGCCCACTACCAAATGGGATGAACTCAAAGTTTCTGGCTTTGGAATCAGATGCCGAGTCCAAGAACCTCTCTGGCAGGAACAAATATGGGCTTTCCCACACACTGGAGTCTCTATATGAGGCCCATAAATTGACGATTATTTGGGTACCCTTTGGAATTGTAAAGCCCGAAATGGCGACCTCTGATTCGGCTTTACGAGGAAGAAGTAGCGCAGACTGCAGGCGCAACGTTTCCTTGATGACTGCTTGTAAATAGGGGAGCTTGTTGATGTTGAGATATGATTCAAAGTATTCAAAATGAAGATATGATTTGAAGTAGTTGAGATATGATTCAAATATTCAAACTACCAAGATTTTAGGAGATTTTTAGGAGATTGTTAATAGATTTAAGTTTATCTAGATTTCTATGATTTACTATTTCTGGTCCAGTGTATTAGCTATAAATACTGGAATTGTGTAACCCTGTAAGCATCAAGTCAGTAGACATTAATAAAGCACTGCAGCTTCTATCTATTCTCATCTATTCCTATCTCTTTCACTATCCCTCTTTCCAACAATTCTGGTATCAGAGCCAAGTTCGTTCGACACGAGGGCGAGTGATTATTTTCTTTCACAAAACAAAATGGCAGTAGCTGGTTTTTCTTCTTCTGCACCATTGTTACCAATCTTTAATGGTGAGAAATATGAGTGGTGGAGCATCAAGATGAAGACCTTGCTCAGATCGCAGGAGCTATGGGACTTGGTGGAGCACGGGTTTGTTGATCTTTTAGAACCCACAATAGAAGAAAAGGAGAGACTAAGAGAAACCAAGAAAAACGATGCCAAGGCTTTATTCATTATTCAGCAAGCAGTTCATGAGACTATCTTTTCACGAATTGCAGCAGCAACCACATCAAAGCAAGCATGGTCAATTCTGCAGAAAGAGTTTCAGGGAGATTCAAAAGTCATAATAGTGAAATTGCAGTCTCTAAGACGTGATTTTGAAACTCTGCTCATGACGAATGGCGAATCAATTGCTGACTTTTTGTCCAGAACAATGGCAATAGTCAGTCAGATGCGCACCTATGGAGAGAAAATTTCAGACGAAACAATTGTTGCAAAGGTGTTGAGAAGCTTAACTCCAAAGTTTGACCATGTGGTGGCTGCCATAGAAGAAGCCAAGGATCTATCCATACTCTCCGTTGATGAACTGATGGGCTCGCTTCAGGCTCATGAGGCAAGAATCAACAGAGCATCAGAAAGGAACGAAGAAAAGGCACTACAAGTGAAGGAGACAACCAATAACGAAAGAGAAAATATTCATTTAGCAGGTAGAAGTCGTGGAAGAGGAGGATTTCGCAACTTCCATGGTAGTCGTGATAACAGTTGGAGAAGTGATGGACAGAGACAATTCAATGAACAAAGGAATGTCATACAATGTTACCATTGTAGAAGGTATGGGCACACAAAATCTAATTGTTGGTATAAAAATCAACGAATGAATTTTGCAGCAGAGAATGAAGAAGAAGAAGAAAAGTTGTTTGTGGCGTGCATGGATACTAATCCGGAAAAAGGTAGCTTATGGTTTGTTGATAGCGGATGCTCGAACCATATGACAGGCACCAAATCCTTATTTAAAGAGCTTGATGAGACGCAAAAGATTAAGGTGCAACTTGGAAATACAAAAGAGATGCAAGTTGAAGGAAAAGGTACAGTGAAAGTCGAAACCAGTCACGGTAAGATAAAACAATTAGATAATGTTCAATTTGTACCTGATTTAGGGTACAATTTATTGAGTGTTGGACAATTGATGACCAGAGGACACTCAGTTCTATTTGATGATAACACATGTGTCATCACAGATAAGAAATCAGGCCATAAAGTTGAAATTGCCATGACTTCAAATAAGATGTTTCCACTTGATGTTTCTAACATGGAGGATTTTGCTCTTACTGCTAGCATGAAAGATAATTCAACATTATGGCATCTCAGATATGGACATCTTCATATGAACGGCCTGAAAATACTTAGAGATAAAGGTATGGTTTTCGGATTACCAAGAATTGACTCAACTAATTTATGTGAAGGATGCATTTATGGCAAGCAGACTAGGAAGTCCTTTCCTGTTGGAAAAGCTAAAAGAGCTTCACATTATCTAGAATTAATTCATGCTGATTTATGTGGGCCAATGCAAACGAAGTCCTTGGGTGGAAGTATATACTTTTTACTATTCGTTGATGACTATAGTCGCATGAGCTGGGTTTACTTCCTACAACATAAGTCAGAAACTTTTCAGAAGTTCCAGATTTTTAAAGCTATGGTAGAGAACCAAAGTGGCTGTCACATTAAAGTCCTTCGCACAGACAGAGGTGGCGAGTTCATATCTAAAGATTTCAATCTCTTTTGTGAAGAAGAGGGCATCCAAAGGGAATTAACAGCTCCCTACACTCCAGAACAGAATGGAATCGCTGAACGAAAAAATCGAACTATTGTGGAGATGGCAAGAAGTATGTTACAAGCAAGGAGACTTCCAAACCAATTTTGGGCCGAAGCCGTAGCAACATCTGTTTATCTATTAAACATCTCACCAACAAAGGCGGTTATGAATCGAACTCCTTATGAAGCATGGCATGGAAGGAAACCATCTGTAAGTCATTTACGAATCTTTGGTTGTGTTGCTTATGCTTTGAAACATCCTCAAACTCGTCAAAAGCTTGATGAAAAATCTGAAAAATGCATTTTCATTGGCTATTGTACTCAATCAAAGGCATATAAACTATACAACCCCGTTAGTGAAAAGATTTTAGTTAGAAGAGATGTAATATTTAATGAAAACGTGAGTTGGGATTGGAGTAAAGAACAGGAGCAGCAAAAGATTACAGTTGAAGTTTCCCCAAATGAAGAGACAAGGGTCAACTCCAGTGCATCTCCCAGTGGATCCACTGCAACACAAAGTGTGTCAAATTCATCATCTTCAGCATCACTTAATAGCAACTCTTCTCTTGAAAAACTTTCGGATGAGACACCTCCAAGGAAGTATAAATCTTTAGCTGACATATATGCATCATGTCAGTTTGCTCTTACTATTTCAGACCCTATGAATTATGAAGAAGCAACTGAAAAAGAAGACGGGAAGAAAGCCATGACAGTAGAGATGCAGTCCGTTAAGAAAGATGGAACATGGGATATGGTTGACCTACCAAACGAAAAGTTTTATGGAGATTTACAAGAAGAGGTTTATGTAACACCGCCAGAGGGATTCATAAAGGAAGACAAAGAAACAAAGGTATACAAGTTGAGACAGACATTGTACGGGTTAAAGCAGACATACTTACGAAGCCCTTGTTAGAAGAAAAGCTCTGTACTTACATCTGCAACTTTGAATCATGGGGGAGTGTTGAGATATGATTCAAAGTATTCAAAATGAAGATATGATTTGAAGTAGTTGAGATATGATTCAAATATTCAAACTACCAAGATTTTAGGAGATTTTTAGGAGATTGTTAATAGATTTAAGTTTATCTAGATTTCTATGATTTACTATTTCTGGTCCAGTGTATTAGCTATAAATACTGGAATTGTGTAACCCTGTAAGCATCAAGTCAGTAGACATTAATAAAGCACTGCAGCTTCTATCTATTCTCATCTATTCCTATCTCTTTCACTATCCCTCTTTCCAACAGTTGATGTGCGATTCTTCAACTGGATTTCCTTTCCCAATCACTCGCAAGAGTTCTTCTTTGAGTTTCAACATGGTTTCTGGGTTCTTCAAAAGATGTGTCATTGCCCATTGCACGATTGATGTAGTCGTATCTGTTCCTCCGGTAAATAACACCTACAACCATTTCCAATTCCAACTCGAATGTTATTTATGCATCCAATGAAATAGAAACAGAGTATTGAGTGCTCCTCACCAATATTGAATGTTTGATTTGGTTTCTATCAAGAGGGATCTCGTTGTTGTCCTCCCTCATGTTGAGAAGATGATGTAGCATATCATTTTTAGGACTGAAATCGGGCAATTCCTGCATCTTCAACCGTTCATCAATCATCCCATCGATCATCTCAAACATCTTTCCAAAATGAACGGTGATGCGCCTCCTTATACCCTGCATGTCCAACCTCTTCAGCACAGGGAAAAAGTCACTAATATTTGGTTTTCCAGCTTCTTCCATCAGTCCTCTCATGGTGACCTTGAATTGTTTGGCCATTTCAGAATTTGGGTCCGCCAAATCCACCGACCAAATCGAATAAGAAATCAAATTAAGGGTCGTCGTAAACACAGCTTCCCCAATATCCACCGCCTCCCCGTTCAAAGCGCTTCGTCGGATGTTAGCAAGAAGGTCGTCTATCCTGGTACGGCGGAGGTTTTGATTGGCGTCGAGAGTCTTGGGGGATAAAAGATGGGTGTTGCAGATTTTTCGAATGTTTTTGTAGGTGGGGGAAACGGGAATCCATGGGAAAGCTAGTTGACCGTGGTCGTAAGGCGATAGAGCATCCGGAACGGCTCTGAAAGATAGGAAATGGTCGTGGGTTTGAAGGACTTGCTGAATCGTCTCCGGGGAAGATACGACGACGGCGGTGAGTTGGCCGAGTTTCAACGACATGATTGGGCCATAGGACTCGGACAGTTTGGCTAGAGATTGGTGGGGATTGTCTCCAAGATCCAAGAGATTTCCAATGATCGGAAGAGGTCGTGGTCCGGGAGGTAGGTTGGGGTTTCTTCTCGCCGGAATCAGACGGAGGGCTATGAAAGTGGAAATAAGGCAGATTAAGACACCGAAGATAAGAAACTCCATCTTCTTCACTCGATAATCATGAAAGATCAAAACACAAATTAGAAATTTATTATAAATGGTTCGCGTGTGATTTGATCCACTTGTTTTCTTTTCATCACCATTCATCCGATCAGACTTGGAGATGTGGGATTTGAGGCGAAGACTTTTTGAAATTGCTTCTTTGTATTTGTTGGGTGGCATTCATAGTAATTTGAGTTCATTCGAGTAATATGGAAATGTTTTCCGTTGTGGCGTAGAAAGGGCCATCAAATAACGTGAAGCCCATAATTGGGCACAAGTTTTTAGCCCAAAGTTCATATGAAATTTCAATAATGAAATATTGGTATCTGTCTGGAACAACCCCACCACCGCCGTGGAGCCTTTTCCTTCCCAACACAAATCCCAATCAGCCACCGTATGGAATAGTATTCCCTACTTTCCATTTTAATAATGAATAGATACAAATGTTAGAAATATGGTTGCAATTCAATTCAATTTAATTTAATTTAATTAACAAAAAAGAAGAAGAAAAGGGTAAAGTAGAGGCCAGAGGGATTATTTTGACTACAAATACACGTCTGTCTCACCGACACTCTAATTCCTCCAAATGAATCTCCACCCTCCGATTACTTCCGTACCATCTTCCTCCTTATCTTCTTCCCATTCCCATTGCCATCACTCACTCACTAACTCGCTCTACTGTGTCAACCCAAAATCGACACTCTCTTCCACTCTCTCTCTACAGCTTCCATAAGAGAGAGAGAGAGAGACAGATCCCAGAAGAAACACTCCATTTCGTAATGGGGGAGGCACCCACCTGGGCCACCCGCCGTCTGAGCAACCCGAATCCGACGTCGTCCGATCACATCCTCGACTTTCAAACCGCTGGTCCTCCTGCCGTCCGATCCCCTGCCATTTCAACGGCCCTGATCGTCCTCTCTTGGTACCTCTCCAACATCGGCGTCCTTCTCCTCAACAAGTACCTCCTCAGCTTTTATGGCTTCCGTTTCCCCATCTTCCTCACCATGCTCCACATGCTCTCCTGTTCCTTCTACAGCTATCTCTCCATCCTCTTCCTCAAAATCGTACCCGCCCAACAGATCCAATCGCGAAGGCAATTCCTTAAAATCCTCGCACTCAGCGCCATTTTCTGTTTCTCTGTCGTCTGTGGCAACACCTCCCTTCGCTACCTCCCGGTCTCCTTCAACCAAGCGATTGGCGCAACCACGCCCTTTTTCACAGCCATTTTCGCGTTTTTGATCACTTGTAAGAGGGAGCCGGCGGGGGTTTATTTTGCGCTTTTGCCTGTCGTGTTTGGGATCGTTTTGGCGAGTAATAGCGAGCCCCTGTTTCACTTTTTTGGGTTTTTGGTCTGTGTGGGTTCGACGGCGGGTCGGGCTCTCAAATCGGTGGTGCAGGGGATTTTGTTGACTGCAGAAGGGGAGAAGCTTCACTCCATGAATCTACTGCGGTTTATGGCGCCGATGGCGGCGGGGATTCTGCTTCCAGTTACGCTTTACGTGGAAGGGAATGTAGCGGCAATCACGGCGGAGAAGGCTCGGGAAGATCCTTGGATCTTGTTTCTGTTGGTTGGGAACGCAACGGTGGCGTATTTGGTGAACTTGACCAATTTTCTGGTGACGAAACATACAAGTGCTTTGACATTGCAGGTGCTGGGAAATGCGAAGGCCGCCGTGGCAGCGGTCGTGTCGATTCTGATATTCAGGAATCCGGTGACGGTTATGGGAATGGCCGGATTTTCTGTGACGGTGATGGGCGTGGTGATTTACGGCGAGGCGAAGAAGAGATCCAAGATCACGACGCATTAAGGGGAAGATTTATTTTTCTTTTTTAATTTATAAAGTTAAAAATTAATTGCTTTGATTCATTATATAATTACATCATGTTTTTGGCTTTGGGTTTGTAATTTGATCGGAGAAAAAGGGATTATCTATAGAATTAAAATGGAATTGTATAAAGTGATTAATAGATATGAAGGATTTTCCAGAGAATTAGTTGAATTTGTCTGGGAAAGAATTATGCTTTTGGATCTTGTTTTGTCACTTTAGGACTTTAATTGATTGGAGCATAGAGAGAGAGAGAGAGTAAAGTTTTTGTGCTGTTTTTTTACAGCTGTGTTCTTATGGATTTGTTGGAATATGGATAAGATGGTCACCCAATTGCATGCCCCATTCTTTTAATCTCATGTAGTTCTTAGGGATCTAAGGCTTTATTTTGTCGGTTCAGATCCATTTCTATTTCTGGGTATAATTTTCTTCATTATTTATTATATTTAAACATATTGTTTTATTAAATGCTACTTTTCCAATCAATAAATTATTCTGAATTTTATTTTTGGATAAAACAAACCCAAAACCCAAAACAAACATAAATCAAACATGGAATTATCAAACAGTCAATTGCAAAATAATAAAATAGATCAGTCAAACTGAAATCCCCCCGGTCAATTCTAAGCGATCATCACACCAAGGATGCCAACCACCATGGCGACCAACCCAAATTTTCCGGAAATAACCGCTCTCGTGGCTCCCGATGCCGGTGGTGGCGGCGGCGGAGGCGGTGGAGATGAGCTGGATCCGCCGGGAAGTGGGGAACTGGCTGGAGCCATAGCCATGACCGTAATGACGAGCTTCTGATTTTTTGCACAGTGGCCCTCTTTTCCACTGATGAACCATTTTCTTCCAGGCTGAGTCAGTGAAACGACGTCGTGTCCAGTGTTCGTTGCATTTTTGTCAGTTGGTATTGTGCAATTGTGGAACTGGCCGCCGGTAACGTCATATACGTTGTCATCCTTCGCTGGGTATTTGAAAACTGAAAACAAGGGGAAAAAACAAATAATCCGACAACTATTTAATTGTTTCAGAAAAAAAAAATTAATAAAAGATTTGTTATTTTGATACAAAAATTAAGTTTATTAATATTCTGAAAATATTTGAAAAATTACTTACTAAGATTATCGCCGACGTAGAATGTTTTGTTCTGAGCCCACTCGGTGTAATTGACACCAACCTTCCAACCAGCATCATCTCCGACGGTGTAATTGGTGGCCAGAGCGGAAGGGGCGAAAATGGCCGCAATGGAAAGGAAGACGAAGAGATGAGAGGTGGAGATCGCCATCGAAGGGAGCTCGAATTCGTTGGGCTTTGAAATCGCTCGCGTCTGTAGTTGGGAGTATCTGGTTGTTGGGTTGGTCGGTATTTATAGATATGCTTGTTGAGTGCGGAGAATTGGAGAACAAATGGAGGGCCGGCCATTGGCGGCCGGCCGTGGGTGGCGGAAGGATACAAAAAGAAGAGGGTTTTTGACGGCTGGCCGTGGGCTGGCGGAAGGATACAAAAGCCAGCGCAATGCAAATGCCTTGAAAATTGATTGTAGATGTTTACAAAGAGCACTGTGAGAGCTTGTGTCTTACGATGCATTGTTTCATCAGAAGAACCTGTCTATGAGTTTACAATATGCTTACAAACAGCATTTTTTTTATTTTTTATTTTTATTTTTCATTGGTTTTTAGATAATTTACAAATAAAATATAAGTCTCATTTAAATTTTAAAACACTAATGTTAGTTTCGAAAACTCAGAACGTTAAATTTTAAGTTTCTTAAAAGTATTGCAGTATCTCAGAAGTGATGTTTGAAGTATAAAATTTATCCAATGCAACCAATAAAATATGACCATGTTGCATATTTTTAATTAAGTTGGAGTATTTTGTATTATTGATTTTGAGCCTTTTTCGTGGCCTACGTTTGGATTAAATTCATAGTTGAATTTAAATATATTAGGTAGTACTTTATAGGGTTCTATTTGTCAAATTTGATATATATATATATATTTCATTAATTGCATAATAACTTTAAAAAACAAAAAAATGCAGTGAAAAGCCCCTCTTCATGATGCAATATGCTCAATACCCACTACTAAAAATATTTTTTTTTTTAATTATTAGAAATTTAAATCTTCCATATAATATATATTGTATATATATATAATTCAAATTTTGAATCTAGAGTTATAAATATAATGTTTCGTCAATGTTGATAGTTTAACATTGAAGGCATCGTGATTAAGGAAGAATTTGTGTTGTTCTAAGATCAAAATAATATAATTATTTTAGTGTATTTACGAAATAAATATAGCCCGAAATATTTAAATTCTAATAACAATAAGCAGCAATGCAGCTGCAAGAGAAGTACAGGAGGCAGGTCCATTCATACAATATAGAAAACTCAAAATTTCAATCCATGATTATGTCATTATTCCAGCCAGAGCGCCAACCGCCACTGCCAAAACCCCAAGATGCCCGGAAATAGCGGCTTTCGAGGCAGACCCGGATGGCGGTGGAGCAGTGGGGCTCGGACTGGGAACAGGCGACTGCGATGGTGGGATGCTTTCGCTTGGACTTGGAACTGGCAAGTGTGGGGTAGTTTGGTTCTGACTAGGCGCAGGCGCTGAAGGAGGAGGGGCGGAGGTCGACGGCGGCGGTGGAGAAGAGACGGGCGCCAGGGGAAGAGACGACGGCGGGGGAGAAGCCTGTCCGCCGTTGGACGGTGGGTTGTCTACGAAAATGACAAGCTTTTGTCCTGACTGACAGTGGCGGGCAATGCTGCATATGAACCATCTGGTTCCAGGACGTCTCAATGGAATGATATCGTTTCCAGTTTTCAGCGGGGATTGGTTTGTAGGTGCGGCGCACTCTGCGAACGCCGTTACGTTGACGTCCAATACGTTGTGCACCCCTTTCTTGTACTTGAATNTTCTATGTCAAAGCTCAAAAAATTGAAGGACTTCCTTCTTTTCATGCTGACACTCACTGTGTAGTAATAGTAGTAGTCAGTCCTTTTAGCTATTTTCTCAATGGCAGGAAAAGAAGACACATTGTATTTGAATAGGTTCCAATTTTTATGCTCAATTCTAACTTTTTAAGCTCTTCCTTTTTCATGTGTTCACCAATTCAAGACAACATCTCATTCTACCACCTTATTTATTTATTTATTTTTATTATTATTTTTTTATTTAATGATTCATATGTTTATCCTTTGATATACACTCGAATCCAAAATCTTAAATCTTAAAGTTGATTAATTGATTTTACAAAAAAATATGTGATTCCCTTCTTGATCCACTCTTTTATAAAAGAAACAATAAATATAAAAAAGGTACTTGTTTAAAAAATAGAAATTATAAATAAAAACTTCTGTTAAATAAAAACAGATTTAATGTTGATAAAATTTAGTTGTTTGACTAATGTCACCATTTAAATATTAACATTATTGGAAAATTAATTTGTAGTATTAATATTCTACTTTCCATCTCTATTTGGCGGTAAAGAAATTATTATTTAATTTAAATAGCAAAAAAGCGAAAGCCATGATTTTCATTCCCTCCTAGATAACGTTCTTCGTTTGAGTTTGAAGTCGTTACCTTGCGAGAGCCACTTGCGTCATGATTAAATGGTGATGGGGCAAACGCAAAAACCTAGCTTTTAAATTATAATATTCACCCACGCCTAATTCATTTATAAATAATTTTGATTTTGAAAGTTTAAAAATTAAAATATATATTTAGAAAGTTCATAATAAAAAATATTTTAATAATAATAAAGACAAGGAGATTTATGATATAAATTTGTCCATCATACAAGATTAATACTTTTTAATCCAATTAATACATACCATATATATAATAAAATTAATAATAAGGTAAACGAAATATGTCTTCCTTTTAGAAAAAAAAAAAAAAAAAAAAAAAGAACAAGAAAAAGGAAACCTCAAAATTTGTCCCAATGAAATTTACATTTTGAAAAATAGATTAAAACACTATATTATTAATTAAAAAAGTTCATAAATAATATGTATGCTTCATTTCATTCACAACAACAATTGGATAAATATTATTTAAGGTTTTGAATTCAAAGGAAACTTTCACCTCAAGTTCTTATTCGTGCCGTTATTTATTTTGGTACACTTTGGATGAAAACAAGAAAAGATGGGAGAGAATAATCCACCTAGATTATCTCCAACAAAAAACGTTTTGCCAATAGTCCAAGACGAGTAGTCGACTCCAAGGTCCCAACCCTGAGCATCCCCCACGATATGATCGGTTCCTGAAACAACCGAAGAAGGGACCAAAAAGAAAGCAAGAAAGAGGAAGAGATGAGAGAAGTTGAGCATTTTGCAGCTTCGGTGTTGGCCAGCCAGCTGAGACTAGTTTAGTTATGAGGCTGCTTTGGCTTAGTGGGTATTTATATACACCATTTGTTGGGTCCATCCGGCCATGCCCTGACACAACAAGAAAAAGATAGATTAACTGAAGATGGTTATATGGTTAAAGGGTGAATGAGGTTTATATTTTAAGGTTTGTTCGTGACATCATATGTATGTCCATAAAGTAAGGATTAAATATGCCAACCATGCTCCAACTGGAGTGTACCTCTTGATTATCATCGATCCAAGCTTCAAATTTTTAGTGTCTCGTGTGTAGTGTGGTATTAAGAAAAGACAAGAAAGAATTGAATATTTATGTTTGGGTTTTTGTTATTGTATTGGGAGATGGGCTTAGTTAGTGAGTACCCAAGGAAGAAGAGGTTGATCCGGTGAGCCCAAGCATGGTAGTCAAACTTGGTCCTCCAACCCTTTATCATAATCCATTTCCAAACACACAAGGAACACAACAACGACGGATAGGATGAAATATGATTGAGAGTTGAAACACATCTGTATTAGCTAACGAAACTTGATCTGTTTCTTCTCTTGGCCTCAAACATCAACATCCAAATCCCTTTCCCTTTCCCTACCTAAGCTTCACCATCTCCACACTTTCCTCTAACCTAATGCTTCTCTCTCCCTCTCTCTTTTTGGTTCCTCTATCTTAAATTTTCATCCCCATGTGTTTCCTCAATTTTGCAACAATTTGTTTAATACTTAAAACTTGATTCATTCATAATGTTACAAGGGATCCCACCCGCCCATGTATTCCTCATAAATGAACGCCCAATTAAATTCTCCTAAGATTGTGGTTGAGTTTGGCGCTCAATTTTTGTCACCGTCAATTCCGAGTTTAAAAAATTCTCAATATAAACAGGCAATTAAAGAAATTTGGTTAAATTATTATTATTTTTTTATTTTAAAAATAATATATAGTTTTGGAATATTTGGCTGGCTTGCCTTGCTTTAATTTGGCTGATTGGGCTCTTGAGGCTTCCACATGGGTATTAAATTAATACCCTTTTTATTACACATGAAAAATGGTACATAATTATATTAGGGAACATGTTCAATTCACATTTTCCTTTTTATTTATTTATTCATTATTAAAAAGGTATTACCTTTGATTTATAATATAAGTCTATTAGCGTTAATTGGGTCAGTCTGCCAAGTTGTTTATAATTCAGTATTTTTCAATAAAAAGAGCATTTAAACACAAAAAGAAAATAATAGTTATCTTTTTTAGAGAGTGAAATGGTAGATCCAAAATTTAAATTCTGTACTATTTATAATATACCATTTTTAAACAATTATTTTTAGCAAAATGGGATAAATAATTATTAAAAAAAAAAAAGGATGGTTGAAAATAGAGGTAGCTTATGTTTATCTAAAATATAATAGAGCCAATTTCTCTCTCAATCAAAAAGAAATTTCGCAAATTATAATATTACTCAAAAGGGTATTATGGTAAAATCTGAAACCCTTCAAAAGAAACATTCTTGGAGCCATTAGAATCGCGCGGAAAATCCCAATGTAAACAATACATTATAAATTCTTTTATTTTTTTTAAATTCTTTTCGAAAAAATAAAACTTCAAATAATTCAATTTTGTCGATTGTACTCTTCGAGTCTGCCGCCGGGATTTTGCGCGTCTGTCCGGTGAAAGAAACTCCTCGCCCCTCGCCCCTCGCCCCTCGCCGGCGGCAGATTCTCTTCCGGCTCCGGCCAATTGAAATGACTCTGCAATGACCCATACCCGATTCTTCCGGAACCGGAATTCCAAATCCAACAAAGAAGGAGAACCCACCACAAGCGACGGCGGAGGGACCGCCATGAGAGTTATAGTGCCTCTGCAGGGCATCGTTCAAGGAAGCGGCGGCGTCGTTTTGGGCTCTCTTATACCTTGCGTTCTCTTCTACTTTCTTCAGCTCTACTTGAAACGAAACCGGTCCGAGCCAACCGAGGATTCTCCATCTTCACCGGAGGTGGATTCTCCGGGGAATTCTTCGTCGCCGTCGAGTAATCAGTCCGTGGAGCTCTCTTCTCTGCCTCGAACATTGTCTCGGACCTTCCTCTCGTCCAGGTCGAATGGGCCGGTCTGCGTTTCGGGTCGGGCTAATTCGATTGCCAAAGTTGGGGAATCTTCTATTTTCGTTGGAATGAAAAAGTTCTTTGAGGACCCATTTGATGAATTGGACAATCCGACGGGGATTATTCAGCTTTCTATTGCTGAGAACAAGGTGGGTGGCTTTATGCTTTTTGTTCGTTTGAATGTGTGTCAGCAAGAATTTTCTGTTCTTTGTTTATCGGTTTCTGTGTTGACGAATGTGGATGTTTAATTAAACGATGAAGTTGTCGACGGACTTGGTGCAAAATTGGCTAGTGGAGAATGGAAGGGATGCCATATTAGGAGTAGGGAATCATAATGAGCTGAGTGTAGCGGGGACTGTTAGCTACCAGCCTTCAGATGGATTGATGGATTTGAAACTGGTAATCAAATTTCCTTGTCTTTTCTCTGTAATTAATATTTTGGAATCAGTTGGGTTGCCCCTTGCCTGTATGAAGAAGTTTGAACGGCTCTGTTTTTTGTTCTCTTGTACATGCTTGGATTTGTGTTCTCTGCTACAAAGTTTCTAAGTTGTTTCAATTGCCGATGACTTTATTTGATGTGTGCCTTCGCTCCTGTTAAAGCCTTCATCCTCTGTTTATCTACATACTTGATTGTTATTCTTAGCATGATCTATGAATATGGCTTTTGGAGGCTTGAAAAACTCTGTTTTTGTTGTGTTTAGAGATTAAATTTAGTCAGGGTAATGCAAATTTTGTGAATGAAGTGGTGAGATCTCAATGAGTGAAGCACAGAGTTGACTCCAAAGAGCATAATGGTCAACGTGGTGTATTGTACGTTTGAACGCCATCATATGCTTGTGCGTTACTTTGCATTTGGTTGGTGTGCACCATATGAAGTTCCTTATAATGAATGCACTTTTGTTCAAAAGACGTACCTTGTCAAGCATCCATCTCCTCTGATATTCCAATTCTCACAGGCTGTGGCAAGTTTCATGTCTCAAGCTGTAGGGAACTCTGTTTCGTTCATCCCATCACAATTAGTATTTACAAATGGAGTGAGCTCTGCAATCGAAACACTTTGCTTTTGCATAGCAGACGCGGGACATGCGTTTCTTGTTCCTACACCATATTACCCCGGGTACTTGTTCGTTCCTCTTTCATGAACTATGGTTTCTAAGAATATGAATTGAGATTCTGAATCACAAAATGCAGTCTTGACAATGATGTAAAATGGCGAACTGGGGTGGAGATAGTACCTGTTCCCTGTCGTAGTGCTGATAACTTCAGTTTAAGCATAACTTCTCTGGATCGAGCATTCCACCAGGCAAGGAGTCGTGGCCTTAAAGTTCGTGGAATCATAATCTCAAACCCTTCAATTCCTGTTGGAAATCAACTTCATAAAGAAACACTCTACAAACTTCTGGATTTTGCCAGGGACAAAAACATCCACATAATATCAAATGAAATATTTGTTGGATCAACATATGGAAGTGAAGAGTTTGTGAGCATGGCTGAAATGATCGATTTAGAAGATAGCGACCGAGACAGAGTCCATATTACGTATGGTCTATCTGAAGACATGTCACTTCCTGGTTTTAGAGTTGCTGCAATCTACTCTTTGAATGAGAATATCCTGGCTGCTGCTGGAAAGCTGGCAAGATTCTCATCTGTTTCTGCCATAACTCAGAACCTCCTTTCTTCTATGCTTTCAGATGCACAGTTCATCCAGAAGTTCATTGGGATCAATAGAAAGAGGCTTGGAGAAATGAATAGTAAATTTGTTGCAGGACTGAAGGAACTGGACATCAAATACATGAGGAGCAATGGAGGGTTCTACTGCTGGGCTGATATGGGCAACTTAATCCGTTCTTACAGCGAGAAAGGAGAAGTTGAGCTCTGGGATAAATTGTTGGATATAGGTAAAGTACATGTTATTCCTGGCTCTTGTTGTAATTGTATTGAGCCAGGATGGTTCGGATTCTGTTTTACTACTTTGATTGATAAAGAAATACCTATTGTTATGGACCGAATTCGGAGAATTTCCGAAGCTTGTAAATCTTATACTTGAAATGAAATTATTGTTCTGTAAATATGTATCAGTTCTTTAACTTTTCAAGCAATATTGGCACCTCTGATAGCCATAAGCATGTTTGAATCATAACCATTCTCTCCTTTTACTTGATTGAAGCAAACATATGCCAAAGAGCTAGAGTTGAACATTGTTGATATCTTGATCCTATATCATTTTTGTTCTGTAGCTTGTGTTCTTATGATCTGATTCCATTTCAAGATTCTCTAGTTTGTGTTCTTGACAAAGTGCACACATATATTGAATAAAGAGTCGAATACATTAAGAAAGGAAGAGATAAAACCATGTCACCCTCTGATGAATCCCATCATTTTCTCTGATCAAAATGTGGGAATTTTTTGTGAAACTCAGTCATTAAAGCCAAGTTCTCTTGATGAAGGATATTAGCTTTCTCCCTCAGCTTCTCATTCTCTTCAATTATAGTTTGGTTCTCCAAATACAGCTGCAGATTCTTCAGCTCAATATCCTTCCCCTGCTTCTCTTCAAATGATCTCCTTCTGCTAAAACAAAAGCAAGCATCATTTTCAAATGAAACAAAAGTCACCCAAAAACATGAAAATTTTGAAATGGGGTTTTGTAAAAAGCAACCTGGAAAGCCTCTGAACTTGAAGTTTGGACCTTTTTAAACGTCTCCTGTTCTTGGAAGTATGGATTTGATGAAACAGAATGCGTTGTGTTGCAGTGATGCACATTATTCTTCTATGCAGCTTCTTAGCTTTTGGTTTCCTTTGTAGCAGAATAAAGTGTGGAAGTTGCAGGGGAATGTGTGGGACTAAAGCTCATACTTATATAGAGGGTGTAGACTCACGGGAAAGAGAGGTGAAAGCAAATTGTAGTGATAATAATGGGTGGTGGACTTGTGATTAAGCGTTCTTTATGTCCTGTGGCTAAAGCCATGGACGTCGTTAACTACTAGTGCCTTTTGACACTACCTAATAATGGGCTTTCTCGCCTCATTCTGTCAAAAGATGCTTCAAAGCTTAACCCGGCCGCACTTTCTTATAATGGGATCATTACACTCATTCATCTACTTTTTACCTTAAAACATTTGTATTGGGTTAGTCTATGAATGAAACGTACCACACTATCTTATAACAACGTTGGTTACTTCATCGTGCGTGCCTTTACGCTAGTATCTGTGAAGAAATGCTTTAAAACTCGACTGCTATCACACTACACCACACTTTGTTATAATGGAGTTAATTGGTTCATTTTATCTTAAATACTTGTCGAAAGATGCGACCTTGTAGCGCTTTCTTAGCGGGGTTTATGTGTTTCATTATTTTGGGTTTGAATAAAAAATGTAAAGAGTCAAATTTAGCATTGAGGACATAGGGGGAGGCCATATAGTTGGGTTAGTATGTTATGAGCATTCATTGAGGACATAGTGAGTGAATGAAGGTATGATGCTAATTTGTATATTTGTGTATGACTGTATTTGCAATGACCTTTTTGGTTCCACATTATCAAAGTTCATAATGATGCCTCTCTCCCTATTTCTTCTTCCATAACAATCATACCCATTTTTTTTTTTTAATTTTATTTTCTCACTCACTTTTTCCATTTCCCTTTCACCACTAATATATACAATAATATCTATACATACAGATTTGTATTTCTAAAAGTAGAATACTGCCCCACTTTCCATGAACTCTCAACCATTTGTGCTTAATTATAATGATTTCTTCAACTTGGATCTCATTGCCTCTACAATAACTTCATCACTTTTTAATAAAAATTTGTTCTTTCAGTTTTTGGGTTATATACATATTCACAACATGGATGTCCCATCGTGGTTCGTAGTTGAATTATGCGGTTGGTAAACTTATAAGAAGAACACTGTATGTATGCATGAGGGATGTAACGCGTCTGGTAGGGAGAAACTTCAACGAGATCTCTCACATGGAATGAGTATGATTTCTTGATAGCAACTACCCAATAATGGTAAGTTGAAATAATGAGGTCGGTTTTGGTCCAATATAAAAGAGAGGAAGAGAATAGACCCACTACAAAGCCTCAGCCTGCACCTTGTTTCCTTACTTCCTTCACCACCACCACTGCCTTTTGTACCAAAAAATGATGAGTTGAAGAGGGTGGGGGGAAGGGGAGCTCAGATTATTGGCTTAGTCAACAATCTAATGAAGGGCTGGTGAAGTTTTCTTTACTATTATTATTACTGTTCTTCAGCTTCAAGTATGTATGTTCCTTTCCTATTAGATTCTCATAAAAATGATATATAGGCAATCACATGCACGCTAATGATGAGATGCTATGCATCACTAAGTGTGTAATTGGCGTTATTCCTTTGTTCATTCAGTATCAATCTTGTCAAACTCAAACCCATTTCATTCATGTTGGTAATATCATGACACACACACACACACCACCACCACCACCTTTCTCTATGCAAATATTTGGGCCTGCTTTTAGAGCGACAGGGGCTCTAGTTCAAGTCTCATCTCTTTTAGTGCTGTATGTCACGTGAGCATTATAGGTGCGGTGATAGTAGCCTCGACAAGCTTCGCTTCAAATGAGTATCACGAAGAGAGTAAGAATTGGATGAAGTGTTGAGGCAAAGCAAGATCACCAATATCTACTCTATTGCAATGCAATCATTTACATTTTTCTTATTGCTACTTGTCTTCATCGTTATCATGTTGTAAATTGTCATCGGTTTTGATTTGATTGGTTATTTGGATTAAATTTGATTGGTTATTGAATTAGATTTAGTCGTACCAAATTTAGTCATATAAGAGATTTGATTTTGTAACGCTATATAATAGCCAATTCTATTCCAATTCCATTCTTCAATACTATGAGAGATTTCTCCCTCCATTCCTAACAAGCTGTATCGGAATTTGGAGAGTTTTCTGTGTCACATTGTATTGTGACATATTGGGGAGAGCCTTTGTAGTGTGATAGTGAGGTATTTACTTGTAACACTTTGTTTAACAGTGATTGGTTGCTACTCGTGGATGTGAGGGAACTTCTCCTCTCCAAATCACGTAAATATTTTGGTCTCTTTGTGTAATTTCATTATTGGTGTTGTGAGTACATTTGTTCGGCTTTCGGTGCACGACACATCATTCATACCCACTACCCATTATAATTTTATTTTTCCACTTCAAAACCCAAATTCCTTTCCTAGTACGTTTGGACGGGCTTAATGCGAGTTGGGCCACCCGGGCCTTTCTGGCCCAACTACTATTGGAATTGGGTTGGATAAGTTAAATATTCGGGCCGAAAGTAATCATCAAGGGAGGGAAGCTATTTGAAAATATCGACACGTGGCAATTTCGATAATTGGGACACGAATTGATTTTAATATAATATAGTATATAATGTATTTCCTTTCCCGGCTTATTTCTTTAATTAAAAATATTTAACAAAATTGAGAGAGAATCGAATCAATCATTCATTATGGTGGACCCTAACTACCACCAGAAATAGTAGCGAACCTTTTGGAATTATGAAAATAATAATATTGAAAATTGCAAATAATCATAATAAATTATTTTATTTCATTGTACATTCAGGAAAATAATTTAAAACTCTTTTATTTTTGTCTTTATGTACTTATTATCTCAAATTCTTTACATGCGTTTTGGAATAAGATTTGATATTCTTAAAACTGCTTTAATAATAGGAAAAAAAGAAAAAAGAAAAATAAGGTAAAAAGATTATTGTTAATATTTAATTCTGTTGCAAAAAGAAATCCCCTCTAAAATTACCAAAAGGCCCATTCGTATTCGCCAAGCAATCATCACAAAAGATTCTCAGAGAAAGGCAAGCATCACGGACTGGATCATCTGAGCCGTCCAATGAAAATGAGTAGTGTCGTGGTGAGGATAACGAAACAATTGAACGGCTGAAAAAATGAGTACAATGTACATCTGTCGTATTGAAGCATTGCGCCGACATGGAAACCAAGAGGGCGCCGTGGAAGTAATGATAACAAGGGGGTAGATTGTCGAATTGGTAATTCATCTGTATCGCTCCGTTAGCCTCAAATCCTCAACATAATCGGTTTTTCTCTGCGTTTCTTCTTCCTCTTCTTTCTTTCTTTCTTTCTTCTTTCCTCTCGTGGGTTTCCTCAGACTTTGATTCTGTTCTATCCCCTCAATCGAAATTGTTTCTGGGAAGGGAGGGTTTTACAGTTTTTGAGTTGCTTCGATCTTTTGTTGGCTGATAAGGTGTGGATTTTCATTTGCTGTTTTGACTTTGGTTGAACCCGATTAATCTACATCGTTTTTGTTTGGATTGGAAGAAAATTTTGGTTTCTTACTTTTTCTGTGCTTCTGAATCTATCTTCTTGTTCTTTTGTGTTCCTTGATCATTGTCATACATGGTTGTTTTCGTTATGTTATATTTCAATGTTTTTGCGATTCTTGAAAGACTTGGTCGAGTTGTGGATTTTCAAGGAATTTATCTAGATGTACTCTTGCTCATAATTTGTGGATTTTGTTGATTTTGTTGATTGAACCTTATTGGCTTCCTGGTAGTATTAGGGATTTTGAAGCAAGAAGATGAAAAAGGGAATCGATCACAGATAAGTTCTATTATAATCCTAACGTCGAGTTTTCGTTGTGCTCTTTTCCTGAAATTACAGCGGATTTAAGCGAGCGCGTAGGAAAACCATGGGTTCAGAACAGAACGATGGCACAAGCTACCAGCCGTCGGAGCCGAAGCTCTGCGCGAACAACTGCGGCTTCTTTGGTTCGGCCGGAACGGAGAATCTCTGCTCAAAGTGCTACAGAGACTCTCGAATCAAAGCCGAGCAAGCGGCTTCGGCAAAAGCAGCGATGGAGAAGTCCCTTCAGTCCAAAATACTTAAGCCGTCTGAAGGTAATGCTCCGGTTGTCTTCTCCGATTCATCAGTGGATTTAGATTCGGCGTCGTCCTCCACAGGAATTTCTCTCTGTAATTCCGACAAATCGCCGTTGCCGGCTATTCCGAATCGGTGCCGGAGCTGCAATAAGAAAGTGGGATTGATGGGATTCAAGTGCAAGTGTGAGGGAACCTTCTGTGGGACTCACCGGTACCCAGAGAAGCACGATTGCTTTTACGACTTCAGAAGTGATGGGCAAGAGGAGATCGCCATGGCCAATCCCGTGGTGAAGGCCGACAAGGTGGAGAGGTTCTGAGAAGGATTTGGCTCTGAACTTGGTAAATTTTTAGTGGGTTTGTTGCTATTATTCGTCTTCTTGGTTCCTTTTTGTCCCTGTTTATTTGGGTTGGTTTCATGGGGGATTTGGGGGTAAGATCTTGCTTGGTTTGCTGTTGGGAAGTGAACAACTATGGTGAATAATGTAGTTTGATTCCTTTCGATTCTGGTATCCTTTTCGTTCACCCCAGTGTTTGTAAAGGCTAGGCAGTGGTTTTACGAATTTGAAGATGAACAAACATTCTTCATGAATCTTCTTTGATCAGACATGAAATCAATCCATTTGAATTCTGAATTCTGAATTCTGAAGCGAAAGTGGTGCTTTCTTTTATTTTGGATCCAGTTGGAAATAAAGATATATCAAGAGTGATTATGTCAATTTTAAAATCAGTGGAACATGTTCTTAATCTTTTGCTTTGTGGAAATTACTTTTGCCATGGCGATGATCCTTGATCCACTTTCTCAAGGTTTAGTGTTCCATGACTTTTTTATTTGAGATTGATATCAAAAATATACCAAGATTATCACTTCTTTTTTTTTTTTTTTTTTTTTTTT